GAGCGTGGTTGGCGGAGAAGTTCATTTCCCCTTTTATGTGTCGCGTTTCGGTGAAGGACAACATCTGGTGCATGGTTCCCTCTCTGACTGAGGCCTCGGTGAGTGTCTGTTTGTCTCCTTCTGTTCCTTTCCCGGTTCTTATTGAGTGTCTGTCTCTTTCCTTCTGTTCCTTTCCTGGTTCTTTTGAGTGTCTGTCTCTTTCCTTCTGTTCCTTTCCGGTTCTTATTGGGTCTTCGGTGAGTGTCTGTCTCTTTCCTTCTGTTCGTTTCCCGTTCTAATTGGGGCTTCGGTGAGTGGGGTCTGTTTCTATGTCTGAAGCCTCGGTGAGTGTGTCTGTTTCCCGTTCGAACTGGGGCTTCGGTGTGTGGTTCGCTTCCTTCTCTAAATGACGCCTCTAGTGTCGTCTGTCTTTTTCCTTCTGTCTGTTTCCCCGCTGTAACAGGGGCATCGGCGAGTGTCTGTAAACTCCCCCTTCTGATGGTGTTTCAGTGGGTGTCTGTCTGTTTCCTTCTCTGAGTGAGCCATCTGTGAGTCTGTTTCCCTTTCTGATGGTAATTCGGTGACTGTGACTGAGGCTTTATTGTTGTGAATGAGATTTCATTGTGGAAAGAGACGTTTTGATAGATAATTTGGTTCCTGTAATAGATGTGTGAGATTTTTATTTTTATTTTTATTTGTTTTAGTGTGTCTGTTATTATTCTTTCCCTGTTTGTCTGAGAGAATGGGGGGCGAAGGATAGAGGAGAGAAATGAGAAAAGAGAGAGAAGGAGGAGAAAAGAGAGAAGATAAGAAAGAGGAGATAGGAGAAAAGAGAGAGAGCAAAAGAAAATGAGAGAGGAAAGGAAAGATGAGAGAGGAGAGATAAGAGAGGCGAGAGGCGAGAGAGAGAGGAGAGAGAGAGAGAGAGAGAGAGAGAGAGAGAGAAGAGAGAAGAGAGAGAGAGAGAGAGAGAGAGAGAGAGAGAGAGAGAGAGAGAGGAGAGCGAGAGAGAGGAGAGAGAGAAGAGAGAGAGCGAGAGAGAGAGAGAGAGAGAGAGAGAGAGAGAGAGAGAGAGAGAGAGAGAGAGAGAGAGAGAGAGAGAGAGAAAGAGGAGAGGGAGAGAGAGAGAGAGAGGAGAGAGAGAGAGAGAGAGAGAGAGGAGAGAGAGAGAGAGAGAGAGGGAAGAGGAGAGAGTAGACAGAGAGAGAGAGAGAGAGAGAGAGAGAGAGAGAGAAGAGAGGGAGAGATAGACAGACAGAAAGACAAATGGATTTATGGATATATAAGCTTTCATCCTTTTTAAAATCCAGAATAGCTATGATAGTATAGTAAACAAATACACGATACTCACCTGAACATATCACGCATCAGTTTCACAAAGGAATTTAAAAAATCTAGTCAGTTCATTCTTGCATGTTTGTGGCATCTGATATAAACTGATTTTGACACACAACATCCACCGAACATGCCAATTCGCTTTTGGCAAATATTTACGGTTTATATAATGAGGATGATCAATAGCGTTAATGGTTTGGTAATGTTTTAAATTGTATTATCATATATATCATCAAAATGTCATTACAGTCATTTGTAAGCGTTATTGTATCGTAGATCATATATTATGGAGCCTCGCATGTATGAGTCTTTACGTGAACTTTATCGTGATTTCTTCCCCCACGCCTTTCGTATCCTTTTTCCCATCCCCTTTATCATTTTCTCTCTCTCCTTCCTTGTCTGACGCTCCTCATGCCCCGTGCCAGATGCGTCGCGTGCCGGCCGAGGAGTGCTCGTTCGACCCCTGGTGCGGCGCCCTCATCCACCAGGACACGGCGCCGCCCCTGGTGACTCGCTTGACGGTGCTGTGGGTGGCGCTGCTGGTGTCCCTCATGGTCATCTGGGCGCCGCGGATCCTCACCTTCCGCCCGCAGAACCCCGCCCTCATCTGGCTCAGGGTGAGTATCAGGCGGGTATAAATAGACTCATTGTGGGAAGTGCTGATTTACCTCATTTTGAACCCTGGCTCATATCTTGACCCGAATTTCTCAGCGCCAGACACAGCGGCTCGTGTTGTTGCTGGCCGCTGGGGGCGCTGTCCTCCAGCTGGTGTTGGAGCACCTGATCCTGCCCGCCCTTCTGCCGCCCGAGCGACTCCTCACCCACACCGTGTCCTTGTTCGCTTTCTGCTTCGCCAATCTAGTCACGACCGCCGTCCTGATGGCGCGGCCGACGGGAAGAGAAGCGCTTAAAACCCATTCCCTCGGAGAGCGGACCCCGGCGTCGACCACTGACCCGCAGGGAGTGTTGAGGGACATCGTGGAAGATAAACTACCCTGACATTGCTATGGTTGTATTGTTTTCGGAACATACTTCATTTCAGCATTAATGATATTTATGAGGTTTATCTTCCATCATCTTCACCGCCATTTATGTGAAAAACGGATTCTAATAGCAAAGGAAATCCCTTATTGTGGAGCATGATTTTTATATTTTCATAAATCAATACAGTAATAAAGTAACCATGTCCTTTTCGTTTCCCTTCCTTGGAATGAAATGACATCAAAGAAGTATAGTGTCCGACAAAATTACGTTTTCTATTGCATACTTTCATAGAAAACGACATAATGAAACACGTAAACTACGGTAACTAAAGAGAATTCCTGTAAATAGTTTTCTGAGCTCATTAACGTGTAGAGGTCTGGTGATGCCCGGGGCCAGCGCCGTCATTGTATGCCCCAAAGACTCAAGTATAAGCCCTGCTATTGAGAAATATGAGAAAGGGCGATATGTTAACACAGATGAAACATGAAATAAACACTTTATTCGATTTAAATATAAATTTCAAAATCAGTAACTGATTTCCCTCCCTCATTTGGTTGGCCCGGCGCCCTCTGCATGCCACTGGAGGAGCTACAGTATTTTAAAAAGGGAATATAACATAACAAACAAGGAGGAACATTGCATATTCACGGGACACAGCCCTGTGAATATGAACAGAAATCCATTTCTAAATTCACTAGTCAGCATTACCGGACAACTGCGGATCTTTAGCCGTTTAATGTATACTCAAACGGGCATACACATATGCGCATGCAAGCGCCCCCCCCACACACATACACATAAACAAACACACAAAAATACATAAATATATTAATACACATACAGGACGTTTAAATGTGCTGATATCTGTCGACGAGGATTAGGATCATGTTGCACAGCAGCTGTAATATCTACACAGCTACACGGCAACAAAACACAAACAAATAAACGCGTATAATGTAACATGATGCAAATACTTAACACAACAGAAGAACGTTCTCCAGCCAGAACATACCCTTACGTCTTCGGAAGTGAGAGATAACAAAAAGAAAAAAAAATGAGGTAGGTGAAGTTGAGTGACCTCTTCAGCGCAGACCTCATATGTTGCACGTAGACAGATGCAACAGAATGAAACCTCTGAAAATCTAAATCACATCTATCGTCATTCTTGTCTGTATCACAATCTTTAATGCTCAGTATTTCAGTGTTATTGGTACGGTGTTCATAGCTCTTTATTTGTAGTACAATGTAATGTAGTTTCCGTTTATATAAAAGCACGACTATGATACTCAAGGTTGGTGATGTGATTGTGAAGTAGTAGCGATAGTGTTAGTGAGGATTTGATAGTTGTAGTGGTCCTAGGAGTGAGGATGTGGGTAAAGTAATGGTCCTGATGGCGAGGATGTCATTATTTCCATGGTCCTGATGATGTGATTGTTGTAATGTTCCTGAAAGTGAGGATGTGATTTCTGTAATTGTCCTGACGATGCGGTTATTGTAATTGTCCTGATGAGGAGTTATTGATGCTGGTAGTTCTTGTGTTTTGGCGTCGTTCGTTTCCTTCGGATGACTGAGGGGTCGACGAACCTTCGGATTGTAGGAAAAGATTGTACCAAGAATTTCGCGTCCCGGATTAACCCTCTCTTGCCCCGAAGGTTAAATCCCCTCTGCGGTCAAAAAGGACCAACTGCGAGGCGCATCGCTTTTATCTGCGGTACAACGTCGGTGTAGAGTTCTGGGTATGGTATTGCATGGTGAATTATACACGTTGTTTTTGGGACGTCTTTTTACTCTTTTTCTCTTTCTCTCCTACTTCCCTCGCTCACCATCACTCTAACTCTTCCTCCCACCTTCCCTCTTTCTTTTTCTTTTTCTCCCCCCCCCCTCTCTCTCTTTCTCTAACTCCCCTCTCTCTCACTCTCTCTTCCTCCCTCCCTTTCTCTCTTTCTCTCTTTCCCTCTCCCCCTCTCCCCCCTCTCTCTCTCACACACACACACACACACTCTCACTTCTCTCCTCTCTCTCTCTCTCTCCCCTCTTCTCTCTCTCCTCTCTCTCTATCGTTCTCTCTCCTCTCTCTCTCACTCTCCCCCCTCTCTCTCTCCTCTCTCCCTCCTTCCTCCTTCACTCTTCATTCATAATTCACATTCGAGCTCTCTTCTCCTTTTGCAACTCCGCAACAAATAAAAAGAAATAAGAAAGAAAGAACAACACACCAGAATAAGCAAAGAAAAAAGATGTTCCTTCTTAAGCTAAACCTCGTAGATTATCACGTGTAAGTGCTTACGTGGATGTCTAAGGGAAGGCTTGTCGTCTGTCGGATTCGGAGGGCAAGGAGTGGTCTGCCTGGAGGGGAGGGAGGGGGCTAGGTAAGGGGGAGGTAGTGGGGGATACAGAGAGAGGGGGTATAGAGGGGGTGAAAGTAGGGGTAAGGGGAGAGTAGAGAGGCGGTGGGTGGGGATATCGAGAGAAGGGGTATACACAGTGGTGAAGGTAGGGGGTAAGGGCGTAGTAGGGGAATAGGTAAGGACAGGGGGTGGTGTGGATAAGAGGAGGCGGTGTTGGGGATGTAGAGAGGGGAGCATCCACTGTGGTTGGGTAGTGATGAGGGCAGGGTAGGGGAATAGGCAAGGAGAGGTCGAGGTGTGGGCAAGGGAGGCGACACAGGGTGGAGGGCGTTTCGGAAATGGCAAGCCAGTGTAACACCAAAACGGGCGAGGCAAAAAAAAAGGTTAGATAGTAGAAAAAAGGCACGAAAGTGCAAGAGGAAGATAAATTGTCAAGAGATATCTCTCACTCTTTCATTCTTACCATTATCATCGATTATGTCAGTTATCATTGTTGGTATCACTGTTTCATTATGATCTTTATCATTGTTGATATTATCATTATTCTTGTTATCATTATTATCATTATCATTATTATTATTATTATTATTATTATTATTATTATTATTATTATTATTATCATTATTATTATCATTATTATTATCATCCATCATATTATTCATTATTATTATCATTATTATTATCATCATATTAGTATTATTATCATTATTATTATCATTATTTTTACTATTATTATTTTATTGATATCATCATCATTATTATCATCATCATTATTATTAACATCATTATTTCAGTTACTACTACTTTTACTATCATCACGGTCATCACTATCATCATTATCATCACTACTATTATGCTTTTTTGTTGTGTTAATGATAATGATATAATTATGATACCAATGAGGATAAAAAGACGTTAATGATCACATGATGATGTGAATGAAACTAATAGTGAAAACAATAACTTTATTAATCACAGTGATAACAATAAACGTAATTGCAATGAAAATTTATGATAATATCAATAACAATAATAATGATAATGATAATAGCAACATAATTATAAAGATATGTAATAATGATATTAATGATAGCAATAATGACAATAATCATAATAATGATAATAACATTAATGTTAATAATAATGAAGATGGTGATAATAATAGTAGTAATAATAATAATGATGATGATAACAATAATAGTAATAATGTTAATGATAATGATAATAATGATGGCAATAATAGCAATAATGATGATAATTATAATGATAATAATGGTGATAATAATGATAGCAATAACAGTAATAATGATGATATTTGTAACGATGATAGTAATAATAATAGTAATGATAGTGATAATAACCATGATGTTAATAATGATAATCATATAAATAGAAATGACGCTAATGAAAATAATAATAATGATAATAATAATCACAACAAGAATATTAATACTGATAATGATGATAATAATGATAATGATAATGAAAATTATAATAATGATAAGGATAACAATAGTAATGATAATAATGATAATGATAACAATATTAATGATAATAATATTAATAGATGGATAAATGATAATAATGATAACATTATCAATACAAAAAATATTCATGGCATTGCGAATAACAAAGATAATAACGATGATAACACCAAGACATGACAGTAATGGTAACAATATTTCTGTGTAACAAAGAAACTGTAAACCAAACCAGAGATGATACACAAATATACAACCTTTGTTTCAAGCAACAAAAAGGGCAGAGTTGACCCTGACTCTGATTTATTGGTCTTGATAAAAAAAAATGGCATCTTGAAGATATTAGCCACCGTTGGACAAAGAACGCTGCTCTTTGATCTTTTATTTATCTCGTCGATGAGTGCTACTAAAAGAAGAAGCAATAATTGCTTTTTTATATATATTTTGAGTGGGAAGGGTTCAGTCCAGTGTATAGTTTTCGTTACAAAGGAGTTTTTATCGTATCAAAACTCAACGAATACGGGATTATGGTGACACAACATACTTTAAAGGAGGATATATTCAGTCAGTCAGCTCAGGGCTTGGTAATGGTTGTTGTTTGCACGTTAATTATCATATATTCTTATGGTGGTTTCGGGCGTGGCGTTCTTACAGTATCAGAACCAGGGCCTAAGTTGGGAAGCCATTGACAGTATATCTCTCTGCGTGTCTGTTTCTTTCTGCATGTTTCCGTCTATCTGTCACTGAGTCTGCCTCTGTATATTTCTGTCTGTCTGTCTACCTACCCGTCTATCTCCGCCCCCAATCTCTCTTTTCCTTTGATCTATCTCTCTCTTCTTCTTCTTTTAGTTATCTCTCTCCCTCACTTCCCTCCTTCCCCTCACTCTCTTCTCTCTCTCTCTCTCTCTCTCTCTCTCTCTCTCTCTCTCTCTCTCTCTCTCTCTCTCTCTCTCTCTCTCTCTCTCTCTCTCTCTCTCTTTCTATCTATCTATCTCTTCCTCCTTCTTCCTTCCCTCACCCCCTCCCTCTCTCTTCCCTACTCCCCCCTTCTCTCTCCCTGTCTCTCTCTATCTCTTTCTCCTTCTCTTCTTCTAAATGTCAGAATAGTGCTTTCCAGAAATTCGCGATGCATGTCTGGCAGACAAACAAGTAAAAACAAAATGAAATGTTAAACCAACATTTCATAAATATTCTTTGCAGTTGCAGTCAGCGCCACGTGTGTGTTTGTGCCGGTGTATATATATATATATATATATATATATATATATATATATATATATATATATATATATATATGTGTGTGTGTGTGTGTGTGTGTGTGTGTGTGTGTGTGTGTGTGTGTGTGTGTGTGTGTGTGTGTGTGTGTGTTGTGTGTG